TGTTAAATAAAAATCTTTCAAATGCAACTGTAGCTTTCCCCCCCCAATACAGTAGTTAAAGAGTAATTCTAAGTATATAGAAATAAGTAACTAGATTTTATTTTGATCTAAGTTCTGTAATTTCCATTGTATATTTTGTTAGGGACTTGCCAACGTCCACATTATCATTCTGGACGAAAACGACTGGACCCCAACGTTTTTAAACAGCACATTTGTTTTTAATGCCACAGAAGGTAAGTTAATCAATTCTTTGGCTCTCATGACATTTTGAAAGCAGTGATTCGTCTCCATGTTAACGAGTTAGACAACATTTAACGCTCTATTTGTCTTCTGAATAGGTCGAGCAAGTTTGGGAGCAGGGATTCGTCTCCCAGTTAAAGACAATGACGAGGGGAAGAATGGACAGCTGGAAGTTCTCATTGAGGAAGGAAACAGCGATAAACATTTCAGATTAGGAGTGGATGAAGAAGGAGTGAGTGGTGTTTATTGGCTCAGAACTTAAATAAAAATAAACATATATACAAGTGTACAAATATAGCGTCAAAAATATCGCGTGAAATTATCAACATAATTAATGGCATATCCTCATTATTAACTAAGCCTAATCTTATCTATATTCACAGTGATTTTCAATATCGTTCAAGTTCATATTTCCTACTGCTAGTTTCAGCTTAAAATGTTTTAGTTATAAAAATCATGGTCGTGAGAAAGCTAAATGAGCTGTTTTAGAAATAAGGTTCATAAATAAAAAAATCAAACTTTTAATAAATTTAGTTTTTCTTTTATTCAGTGATGTTTAAATAATAAAACATAACCATGGTTAACTTGCTAACAAAGTCACCTTGAAGTACCTTTCACTTTGTAACCAGCAGTTCTTGAATAGTTAGGGTGTAGAAGGATCTAATAAAACATAACCATGGTTAACTTGCTAACAAAGTCACCTTGAAGTACCTTTCACTTTGTAACCAGCAGTTCTTGAATAGTTAGGGTGTAGAAGGATCTAACAACTTTTACCTAGGTGGCGTTATCCGAAACCATATTGAACTTATAACAATATTTTGATGTCGCGCTTAACACTTTCATATTTAGTCGTCAATTATAAGTTTTGGTAATGTAGCAGTGGTTAAAGAATTACAAAAGTTTAATATATTTTAGGGCTAACAAGTTAGAACTTTACAATGTTAATAAAACCTTTCAGATGAAATGATCTCATTAGACTATCGTCAATCTTTAAATCAGTAGACACTTTACTTATAGGGAGACTGAACAAATCTATTTTATCAATCTTTAAATCAGTAGACACTTTACTTATAGGGAGACTAAACAAATCTACTTTATCAATCTTTAAATCAGTAGACACTTTACTTATAGGGAGACTAAACAAATCTACTATATCAATGTTTTAATCAGTAGACACTTTACTTATAGGGAGACTAAACAAATCTACTTTATCAATGTTTTAATCAGTAGACACTTTACTTATAGGGAGACTAAACAAATCTACTATATCAATGTTTTAATCAGTAGACACTTTACTTATAGAGAGACTAAACAAATCTACTATATCAATGTTTTAATCAGTAGACTTTTATGCAGAAACTTACCATGGAGTCATTGGATTTATTAAAATCGGGAAAAATTATTGGTCAGTAGAATGGGACCATAGCCTAGTTAGAATAATTGGGCTGTTAACTAAGACAATTCAGTATATTTTAGTATCTTATAAAGCTAAATTGGAACACTGGATTCACCAGAACGTTCTGGAAAGATACAGAACTGATGATGTAGAAATTATATTGTTTTCTAGAGGAATCTTTCATTGTAAAGCTATACAAATTTCTTTGTTGGGTAGATTTAACATGTTTTAATCTTTCATAAAAAGATTTAATAACTTTAATTTCAGGCCATATTTTCCATACGAAAAGAACTGGACAGAGAAAGTTACAACGTTGAAGATAATGCTATTCATATTGTGAAAGTTGCTGCTCGAGATAGTGGAGTGCCCCCTCGAACTGGCACAGCTCAAGTAAGTCTGTTTTCATTTTACGAAAGTGGGTGGAGTATCCCCACCCACTAGGACAAGTCATGTAAGTCTGCGTATTTTTCACTCTACGTGAGAGGGTTGAGTGTCCCCGCCCACTGGGATAAGTTAAGTAAGTCAGCTCTTTTTCACCCTATAAGAGAGAGTGGAGTGTCCCCACCCACTGGGACAACTCAAGTAAGTCTGCGTTTTTTTCACTCTACGTGAGAGGATGGAGTGTCCCCACCCACTCAAGTAAGTCTGCGTATTTTTCACTCTACGTGAGAAGGTGGAGTATCCCCACCCACTGGGACAACTCAAGTAAGTCTGTGTGTTTTTTCACTCTACGTGAGAAGGTGGAGTATCCCCACCCACTGGGACAACTCAAGTCTGCGTGTTTTTTTCACTCTACGTGAGAAGGTGGAGTATCCCCACCCACTGGGACAACTCAAGTAAGTCTGCGTGTTTTTTCACTCTACGTGAGAAGGTGGAGTATCCCCACCCACTGGGACAACTCAAGTAAGTCTGCGTTTTTTTTTCACTCTACGTGAGTGGCTATTAACTGTAATGGGGTATGATTGTTTTATTAACACTACTATCATTATTATGAAGATTAACCTTTTGTATAAGACAAAAACAACACTAGACGAAATATTCTAAGAATGTAATGAACATCTTTAGAACTTTCTTAAATGTTTTAGTTTTACAAATAGTGATAATTTCCGTTAATTTAATTGATTGATTATGATACATATTGATTGAACTGGTTGTTAGTATTGTAGTATTGTGTTGGTAAGGCTACAATCCGTTGGTTTAAGTCATTTATTAAGACACATATTGATTGAACTGGTTGTTAGTATTGTGTTGGTAGGGAAACCAACGGATTGTAGTCAATATGTATCATAATAAATGACTTCTGAACTGGTTGTTAGTATTGTGTTGGTAAGGCTACAATCCGTTGGTTTAAGTCATTCATTATGATACATATTGATTGAACTGGTTGTTTGTATTGTAGTATTGTGTTGGTAAGGCTACAATCCGTTGGTTTAAGTCATTTATTAAGATACAAACTGAACAATGAAACTGTATCAACAAACTGATCTGAACAGTGGTTTCCACATATTTTTAATAGGTTATGGTTATAATTCGTGATATCAACGATAATCCTCCGAAATTCGAAAAAGAAGTATATTACCAGTTTTTGTCTGAGAGCGCCCCCGTGGGGATAGTTTTTGAAACAGTAAAAGCAACGGACGCTGACTCTGCACGAAACACAAATCTAAGCTATTCCTTTGATCAAACTTACAAAAACGGTAAGTTGAACTTCGTTTATATTTACAATATAGATTAAATAAGTTGAACGTAGGTTAGTTGTTTCTTGGACTGTATAAACCGATTAATACAATACATATTACACAAGTTGAACGTAGGTTAGTTGTTTCTAGGGCTGATTAATACAATATAGATTACATAAGTTGAACGTAGGTTAGTTGTTTCTTGGACTGTATAAACCGATTAATACAATATAGATTACATAAGTTGAACGTAGGTTAGTTGTTTCTAGGACTGATTAATACAATATAGATTACATAAGTTGGACGTAGGTTAGTTGTTTCTTGGACTGTAGAAACCGATTAATACAATATATATTATATAAGTTGAACGTAGGTTAGTTGTTTCTTGGACTGTAGAAGCCGATTAATACAATATAGATTACATAAGTTGAACGTAGGTTAGTTGTTTCTAGGACTGTATAAACCGATTAATACAATATAGATTACATAAGTTGAACGTAGGTTAGTTGTTTCTAGGATTGTAGAAACCGATTAATA